TTTCTGACTGAAGTTTGGCAGCAAACATCTGATTATTCTGGTCTGATTGAACTCTGCCCGATTGGTTATTCTTTTCTTAGCCAGCCCCGGGGTTCTGGTCGTGGTGGAAGCCTAGCTTTTGTTTTCAGAGACCATCTTCCATGTAGCTCTACAAACTCTGGTCACTTTGCTTCCTTTGAAGTGCAGCTGATTAAAGTCGGGCGTAAGGACCCGTACTACTGTGCTGTGGTGTATCGTCCACCTGGTCCAAACAGTTCTTTCCTCCAGGAGTTTAGTGACTTTCTATCCTCCACTGTGAAGCTGTCCAGACTGGTGATTGTTGGTGACTTTAACATCCATGTTGATGATCCCTCTGATCACTTTGCCATGAATTTCTCCAGCCTTATGGACTCCTTCAGCTTTACCCAGCATGTTTCTGGCCCCAGACACACCAGGGGCTACACTCTGGACCTTGTTTTTACCCTGAGTCTAAATGCTGACAGTGTTTGTCCTGAGGATGTTTATATTTCAGATCACCATTGCATTTTCTCGCTCGCCGTATGGTTAGTTCTCGTTTTCTTAATGAGAGCACAGCTAGCAATTTTTCTGCTGCTGTTGATCCACCCTGTTCTTCTGATAATGACCCAGATTCCTTAACTTCTCAGTTTAACGAGCACTGCCTCTCCATTCTGGACAATATCTGTCTTGTCAGAACCAGATCAGTTCCTGCAGTGAACCCTACTCCCTGGTTTAATGACAGCCTTTGCAGCCTAAAGCGCCAATGCAGAAAAAATGAGCGCTTGTGGAAGAAAACCCATCTCCACGTCCATCTGCTGCACTTAAAGAATCTTCTGACATCCTTTAACTCTGCAGTCAGCGACACTAGGGTTTCCTATTTTTCCAACCTGGGGTCCCAGAGCAAAGGGAACCCCAAGGTGCTGTTTAACACCATCAGCAGCATTGTCTCTCCTGCCTCTCCTACAGCCTCCATCCACTCTGTTGCAGACTTGAGAACTTTCTGTCTTTCTTTGTGGACAAAGTCAATAAGGTTAGGCTGCCTCTCCCGACTCCAACCAGGCCCATCATCGTAGACAGCTTTGCTCCTGTTTCTTTGCCTGAGTTAACCAAAGTAGTTAACTCTATGAAAACCTCTGCATGCCCCCTCGACATCTTACCCTCATCTTTGTTTAAAAGTGCTTTTCAGTCCATCGGTCCCAGAGTGCTCTCTATAATTAATGCTTCTCTGGTTTCTGGTCAGGTCCCTGCTTACTTTAAGAATGCTGTCATCCACCCGCTTCTTAAAAAAACCGAGTCTTGACCCCTCTCTCCATAGCAGCTTCAGACCCCATCTCTAAACTTCCGTTCATCTCCAAGATCTTGGAAAAGGTTAGGGGCTAAACAACTCACAGCTGCTCTTGATGAACATAACATCTATGATAGCTTTCAGTCAGGTTTTCGTAGAGCTCATTCTACTGAAACAGCTCTTCTTAGGGTCTCTAATGACCTTCTGACTCACAGTGATGCAGGGGACTGTTCTGTTCTGGTCCTGCTGGACCTGACTGCAGCCTTTGACACTGTTGACCATCACCTGCTACTGGAGAGGCTGAGAGACTGGGTAGGCCTATCAGGAACTGCTCTGGAGTGGTTCCCTTATCTTTCTGAGTGCTCCTTTTCTGTGGCTGTCTCCAAGTTTAGGTCCTCCACCACCTCCCTTACCCATGGTGTCCCACAAGGTTCTGTGCTGGGGCCTCTGCTCTTCCTCCTCTATCTGCTTCCTCTTCAGCACATCCTGAGCTCCTTCAAAGGAATCTCCTACCATCTTTATGCAGATGACATCCAACAGTACATCTCCTTTAAGTCCCATGAGATGTCTAAGCTGCAGCTGTTACACACCTGCTTAGACTCTATCAAAGCCTGGATGGCTGGGAGCTTTCTTCAGCTGAATGAAGATAAGACTGAGACCCTCATCTGTGCCCCAGACAAGCTGGTTTCCAAAGTCAGAGACTCTCTTGGTCAGCTTGCTTCTCACACCAAACCCTCCGTTAGGAATCTTGGCGTGACCTTTGACCCAGCTCTCACCCTGGATTCTCATGTCAGTTCTCTTGTTCGCTCTTCCTTCTTCCATCTCAGGAACATTGCTAAGCTGAGTCCCATTCTGTCCCACTCTGAACTTGAGAAAGTTATCCACACCTTCATCTCCTCACGCTTAGACTACTGTAACTCTCTTTTCACGTGTCTGAGCAGAACCTCCCTGAACCATCTGCAGGTGGTTCAGAATGCCTGTGCTCGGCTTCTGACCAAGTCCTCCAAACACACCCACATCACCCCACTTGTCCTCCAGCTTCATTGGCTGCCAGTCAACTTCAGGGTTCATTTCAAGATCCTGGTTCTGGTCTATAGGGCCTTACATGGACAAGCACCATCTCACATTGGTAATCTTCTTAGTCCCTACACCCCCAGCAGGTCCCTGAGGTCCATTGATCAAACCTACTGGTTGTGCAGCGCACCAGGCTTAAGACCAAAGGTGACAGATCATTTGCTGCTGTGGCCCCAGACTCTGGAACTCTCTCCCCCTGAGCCTGAGATCAGTGGACTCAGTGGTCTCCTTTAAAAAGCAGCTGAAAACTCACTTGTTCAAAGTGGCTTTTGTATGACCTTCTTCACCACTCTCTCTTTATTCTGCTCTCCCCACCTATTCCACCTTCCTCAGGATCCACTGATTTCCCTCTTTCCCATTTACTCTCTCTCTTTCTTAACATTTTTTAATCACAATTGTCTATTTTTGCTCATTTTAAATACATTTTTAAAGGGGCATTATGGAAGTTTGACAGCCAAAACATGTATAGAAATAATACATTTCTTCTTCATACATTCTCCTGCAATGCCCTGGTCCTGTAAAACGAGCCCTGGCATTTTTACTGTGATTGCCTATTTTTCTGTAAAATTACAAAAAAAGAAAGCCGCTCGGGTCGAGCAGGCTGCTTCATGTGCGTTCACGCTCAGGCATAGCCCCCTGAACCATTCTTAAATGGTACAGGTACAAGCAATGTCACTGGCGCGGTAACTCGCCTAGTAAGTCATCGGACTTTCGTGCTAAAGACCCGGGTTCGATTCTGGATGTGAACATAGTTTATTTAGAGTGTCTGTTTTACATTAATGGTACATTTTTTTACAGTAAGATTCCCAAATTTTTATTTAAGACTCGCCGAACGGCATTGAATTCACAGATAAAAAAGATGTGGGTTCAACTTTCATTTTGGAACAATTTTTCAAGCAAGGGAAGGGAATGATCTGAGCATGCAGGAGGACTGACCCATCTTAAACCTTTGTCGGCTGTGCTGAAGAGAAAGGTACAGAACCAAATTATTTAATTAATTAGCTGCGCGTTCTCCTGTCCTCCCCCCCCCCCCCCCCCCCCACACACACACACGGAGCTGACTGTCTCAGCTGTTATTTTCGTTAAGGAGTGTGCACGTACAGCATGCGCGCCTCGTGCACGAGCCTACTATTGAAGCTGCCGTTACGCATTTGGCCTGAGGGGGCAATCGCGAGCATAAAAATTCAAAACTCCGTAAAGTCCCTTCAACCATTTTCTAAATTATTTTTTATATTTTTACATTTTTTGTTTTTGTGAAGCGCCTTGTGATTTTTATCTTGAGGCGCTATAGAAATGATATTTTCTTCTTCTTCTTCACAATTATATTCCAGTCCAAAGGTCTACTGCAGCATACTCTAAGAACATTTACCACCATTGTTCCACCAATGTGACTGGTGATGGTAATGCTCATTTTACTATGTAGTAACTTTAAAACTAACAAAATTAAGGAACAAATATTGGAGACGCTTTAAACTTGACAAGATGGGAGTTTTCCAATCAGATTAAATTTTAAAATGAAAGGCAGGTAAATGCATATTGCTTTGATTTAATTTTCTTCTGTAGCTGTCAACACAAAGCAGAGAGACACTACCATCTGACAATAAAGCTAACCTGCTAACCTTTACATAGTTTACGGTAACTTATCAGATGGCAGATTGCTCAGGTGAGACTAACAGGTAAATGAAAGACAACATGATATTAAGCTACACTGAGTCGATGCTAGCGTGCTTCAATGTCTCAATAATGGTGTTACTGTGTTACTAAAGCTCAGATGCCTCGCCAGATTTGGTAGAGATGTACAAAGTGACTTTTTCCCCAGAAAGGTCAACAACAAACAGACAGTTCCTGTCAATGTCATGTCTCTTCTTTTGCTTCCTCCTCCCTCACACTGTGGAGCTGTCCAACTGACTGTAGCAGATATGAAAAGCCATCACAATTACAGGGGAGTCAGGCTCTGTTTATATTTAACACTGCATTTAAGGTGCACAGTGGAAGGAATGACTGGTGGTTTGGGAGCGATGGGGAGGGGCAGAGGGGACTTCAAAGCATGCTTTCAGGATAGGATTTTCTGCCTAAATCCACAAAAGGGGGGGGGGGGGGGGGGGGGGGGGACACACTGATATTATTTTTGTCTTCCAAGAAGCCTTAGCCATTTTGACAATCCAATCCATGTACATGGTTGTTTGTAAATGGCTGTGGGGGTTTCTAATGCTAGAGGAGCTTTGTCTTCTGAATGTGTTCCACACTTGTTTTCATACAAATGCTGAGTGTACTCAACAGTAAGAGGCAAGGATTTGAGGCTCATGGGAAAGCATATGAATGGCTGCCTCATAAATACCATCTACTACCGCCTTTGGATATGGAGAAAAAAAACAGCCATGTAGGAAGTCTGATTCATCAAACAAAGAAGATTTTAGGTATTAGGTTTCCTAAAGCTCTTATTCAGTTGCATACCTCTTTGCTTTGTGGGTCGTGATCATTGGCAAATGTGTTGTTCCTCTCAAAGCTTGATGTCAACATCTATGGAGATAAAGGAGAAGGAGAAAAGAAGAAAATTAGCTGATGAGAAAATTGAGGAGCTCAAAGGCATTACTTTTATCTAACAAACAATAAATAAACCACAATGGAGCGCCGGACAACTTACTGGGCAAAAGGGAACGGGATTCTCTCTTAAATACCTGGGGTTCTCGATCTGAAAGAGTAAACAGGAACACTTCAGACTTCTCTTTTTACCTCTTCCGCTCTCAACAAAGCCTAAAAACTACCAGAATCTATTCTTTACCCCGAGTTTGTCTTAAACAATGTGGAAAGCACATCAAAGCCCAATTTCGTGGCCGGAGTCTCTTCCGTCAACTCTTGTCTGTTTAGAGAGACGGAGCCGTCATGCAACTTCAAGGCCTTTGTGTGTGTGGTCAGCTATGCTTCCGCTCACAGCCCATTTCTGCAGTCCCTTTTGTCAACACTAAGGACCGCTAATCTGTAAGCTCTGCCCCTCTGTTTACCGTCAGACAGAGACAAATGTGTATACATCCTGGCCCAACACTGCAACTCAGCATGTTCTTTGATTACAATATGGAACATAAGAGACCTGAAAGTATAAACTGGTCACAACCTTACATCAATGCAGCTCACTAGTTGTGGTGCAAACTGCAACAATATGTGGCAACCTGCGGTTTGTTATGTTCCTATAAAGTCCCTGCGTCATACAGGATTTTTCTCTGATGCATTGAGGCCATCTGTAGGAGCTAAAAATGGACATAAGGGGGGGAAGGGAGAGTGAGTAGGGTTTTTATAGTTTTGATATTTAAAAAACAGCCTTGTTGTTTGAGATGGTACCGTCAACATAACCTTAATCCAAAGTAGATGCAATATAAAAGAAATGAGTTTCCAGGTAACAGTAGTTATTATTTTGAATTACTACTGCATCTATGCACGAAAGAAATATGGTTCAGATCTTTATACAGGTCAATCTGTCAGATTGTCTTTTATATAGAAGTTTGGCCTGTAAGTTAAAAGATACCTTCTGGTCATTTAGATGAAATACTTGGCTACAAAGGAAAGAAGATGGAGCGCGAGATCGATAGGTGATTGAAGCTGTGTCTGCAGTGATGTGGGCTTATAGTGGTCTGTCATGGTGAAGAGAAAGCTGAAAGCTCTTGATTTACCGGTTGATCTACATTCCTAACCTTACCTATGGTAACAAGCTTTGGGTAGTGACTGAAAGAATGAGATCACAAATACAAGCGGCCAAAAAGAGTTTTCTGCGGAAGGTGTCTGGGCTCTCCCTTAGAGAAAGGGTGAGAAGATCAGTCATCCAGGAGGGGCCCAGAGTAGATCCACTGCTCCTCCTCATCGTGGGGAGCAAGTTGAGGTAGCTCAGGCCTTATAGACATCTCTCTGGTGAGATTTTCCAGGCACTTCCAACTGGCATGAGACCTATAGGAAGACCCAGGACATGCTGGAGGGTCTACGTCTCTCGGATGGCGAGCGAACGCCTTGGGATTCCCCCAGAAGAGCTGGCCCAAGTAGCTGGGATGATGGAAGTCTGGGCCTCTCTGCTTAGGCTGCTGCCCCCATCACCCAACACCAGATAAGTAGACGCTAGATAGACAAGTAGACGATAGATAGACAAGTAGACGATAGATAGACAAGTAGACGATAGACAGATAAGTAGACGATAGATAGATAAGTAGACGATAAGTAGACGATAGATAGATAAGTAGACGATAAGTAGACGATAGATAGATAAGTAGACGATAGATAGATAAGTAGACGATAAGTCGACGATAGATAGATAAGTCGATGATAGATAGATAAGTAGACGATAGATAGATAAGTAGACGATAAGTCGACGATAGATAGATAAGTAGATGATAGACAGATAAGTAGACGATAGATAGATAAGTAGACGATAAGTCGACGATAGATAGATAAGTAGACGATAAGTAGACGATAGATAAGAAGACGATAAGTCGACGATAGATAGATAAGTAGACGATAAGTCGACGATAGATAGATAAGTAGACGATAGATGGATAAGTAGACGATAAGTAGACGATAAGTAGACGATCGATCGATCTATGAGATGGCATGAGACCTATAGGAAGACCCAGGACACGCTCGAGGGTCTACGTCTCTCGGATGGCGAGGGAACGCCTTGGGATTCCCCCAGAAGAGCTGGCCCAAGTAGCTGGGATGATGGAAGTCTGGGCCTCTCTGCTTAGGCTGCTGCCCCCGTCACCCAACACCAGATAAGTAGACGATAGATAGACAAGTAGACGATAGATAGACAAGTAGACGATAGATAGACAAGTAGACGATAGATAGATAAGTAGACGATAGATAGATAAGTAGACGATAAGTAGACGATAGATAGATAAGTAGACGATAAGTCGACGATAGATAGATAAGTAGACGATAGATAGATAAGTAGACGATAGATAGATAAGTAGACGATAAGTCGACGATAGATAGATAAGTAGACGATAGATAGATAAGTAGACGATAAGTCGAAGATAGATAGATAAGTAGATGATAGATAGATAAGTAGACGATAGATAGATAAGTAGACGATAAGTCGACGATAGATAGATAAGTCGACGATAGATAGATAAGTAGACGATAAGTCGACGATAGATAGATAAGTAGACAATAAGTCGACGATAGATAGTTAAGTAGACGATAAGTCGACGATAGATAGATAAGTAGACGATGAGTCGACGATAGATAAGTAGACGATAAGTCGACGATAGATAGATAAGTCGACGATAGATAGATAAGTGGACGATAGATAGATAAGTAGACGATAGATAGATAAGTAGACGATAGATAGATGATAGATAGATAGATAGATAGATAGATAGATAGATAGATAGATAGATAGATAGATAGATAGATAGATAGATAGATAGATAGATAGATAGATAGATAGATAGATAGATGATAGATGATAGATGATAGATAGATAGATAGATAGATAGATAGATAGATAGATAGATAGATAGATAGATAGATAGATAGATGATAGATAGATAGATGATAGATAGATAGATGATAGATAGATAGATGATAGATAGATGATAGATAGATAGATAGATAGATAGATAGATAGATAGATAGATAGATAGATAGATAGATAGATAGATAGATAGATAGATAGATAGATAGATAGATAGATAGATAGATAGATAGATAGATAGATGATAGATAGATAGATAGATAGATAGATAGATAGATAGATAGATAGATAGATAGATAGATAGATAGATAGATAGATAGACAAGTAGACGATAGACAGATAAGTAGACGATAGATAGATAAGTAGACGATAAGTAGACGATAGATAGATAAGTAGACGATAAGTAGATGATAGATAGATAAGTAGACGATAGATAGATAAGTAGACGATAAGTCGACGATAGATAGATAAGTCGACGATAGATAGATAAGTAGACAATAGATAGATAAGTAGACGATAAGTCGACGATAGATAGATAAGTAGATGATAGACAGATAAGTAGACGATAGATAGATAAGTAGACGATAAGTCGACGATAGATAGATAAGTAGACGATAAGTAGACGATAGATAGATAAGTAGACGATAAGTCGACGATAGATAGATAAGTAGACGATAAGTCGACGATAGATAGATAAGTAGTCGATAAGTCGACGATAGATAGATAAGTAGACGATAGATAGATAAGTAGACGATAAGTAGACGATAAGTAGACGATCGATCGATCGATCTATGAGATGGCATGAGACCTATAGGAAGACCCAGGACAAGCTCGAGGGTCTATGTCTCTCGGATGGCGAGGGAACGCCTTGGGATTCCCCCAGAAGAGCTGGCCCAAGTAGCTGGGATGATGGAAGTCTGGGCCTCTCTGCTTAGGCTGCTGCCCCCGTCACCCAACACCAGATAAGTAGACGATAGATAGACAAGTAGACGATAGATAGACAAGTAGACGATAGATAGATAAGTAGACGATAGATAGATAAGTAGACGATAAGTAGACGATAGATAGATAAGTAGACGATAAGTCGACGATAGATAGATAAGTAGACGATAAGTCGACGATAGATAGATAAGTCGACGATAGATAGATAAGTAGACGATAGATAGATAAGTAGACGATAAGTCGAAGATAGATAGATAAGTAGATGATAGATAAGTAGACGATAGATAGATAAGTAGACGATAGATAGATAATTAGACGATAAGTCGACGATAGATAGATAAGTCGACGATAGATAGATAAGTCGACGATAGATAGATAAGTAGACGATAAGTCGACGATAGATAGATAAGTAGACGATAAGTCGACGATAGATAGATAAGTAGACGATAAGTCGACGATAGATAGATAAGTCGACGATAGATAGATAAGTCGACGATAGATAGATAGATAGATAGATAGATAGATAGATAAATAGATAGATAGATAGATAGATAGATAGATAGATAGATAGATAGATAGATAGATAGATAGATAGATAGATAGATAGATAGATAGATAGATAGATAGATGAATAGATAGATAGATGATAGATAGATGATAGATAGATAGATAGATAGATAGATAGATAGATAGATAGATAGATAGATAGATAGATAGATAGATAGATAGATAGATAGATAGATAGATAGATAGATAGATAGATAGATAGATAGATAGATAGATAGATAGATAGATAGATAGATAGATAGATAGATAGATAGTGTAAAGTGAGGAAATATGGGTTTTCTGTGCAAAAGGTCATTTGACTCGGCTGGGTCAATAGCTGGGTCGCTGAGAACTTTCACCCACAGATTGAGACCTTTGCAGACATGAAGTCTGCAAGAGTCTGCTGGAAACCATAACATCTGAACACCTGCAGGACCAGAAGATGTGTTCCCAGGAAATGTAGTCATAACAAGTCGTAAACTTTCTTTTCTCTATTTTAATGATAAAGAATAATCATTATCATTTTGCTCATTATAAATGTGTTTTAATCAATTGAATGATTCTTATGCTTTGGGTAATTATAATGGATTAATGAATCCATACTTAATTAAATAATGTTTGAGGATGTTTGTTAACGACCTTCACACACACTCAAGCACACACACGCTCAAACACACCCACACACAGATTCTCACAGTAAACTCCAAAACACATTTGCTGACGTACACATTTTGCTTTGAGAAGAG